CAGAGCAATAAGTGTTGCTCCTGGCTTAGTCATTGGTGTTGGCAAGAATAGATTTGACCATCAACTTGCCTTTGTCATTTTGGGTTGTTTCTTTTCTGATAGTGGATCAGATACAGATGTCAGCATTCATCCCACACTGCTCAGAATCCCCTTAGTTCTTCACATTAATTATATCAGTGTTGTATAAATGGAAAACCTTGGAAAGTGCTTAATAAGTCTAAAAGGATGGAACAGCAGGCATTCCAGCAGCTCTTCTCTAAACACAAACTTTTGCTTTGACCTTGCATTAGAGGAAGAGGAACTGGTACTGCCAAATCAACAGCCTCCTCTTTGCTTATGCTTCATTTCTAACTATGGCCAGAACTGGTCTGACCTTAGTTCTCAGGTCTTTTGACCCAACACATTAAATGGCTTCTAATTTTTTTTCTAGACAGCCCCCAAAAGCATTGAATTCTTACTTTACCAATGGAAATGTAGAAGGTAGCAGATAATTCAGTTTGATCTAGTCATAGATGGAATTATAGCTGGAGGCTACCTGTGAATGACTTTTAGCATGAAAATATAATTCTCAAGAAACTCAGCAGCTTCTAACTGGTAATAACTTGAAATTCATGTGAAAACTTGTTCCAGAACACTCAACATTTCCTTCAAACACTCAATTTACAGTTTCAAAAGAATATTCCTTGTGCATACTTATTTCTGCTTTTTGAGCTCCAAATATTTTAGTAAACAATCACCCGCAAGAAACTCCATAGAAAAAACTGACAGCTGGAGTAATTTCTGGAAAATGAACTTTACATTCAATACTAGAAGAAAAGTTATCAACACTCTGTGTCCAGCTCCCAGCTGGAAACTTAGAACTCTTAGGCTGGGGCCACAAAAGCCTGGATGCAGGGACAGTCCTTAGGTGGAGTCTGGATGTGTTAAGGGAACGATGCCGTTGCTGCAGGGTGTAGCAGGGTGTCCCCCTTGGGCAGATACAGGCTCTGTATCAGGTACAGGCTCACTAGCTGGAACCAGATATACCCTTTGGACACTCTTCCCTGTAACACCCACATAAGACAAGTTCGTTTTCAGTTCAGTGCCCAAAGGCAACAGCCAGGCTAAAATCTGAGTTTCCCTCCTCCTACACAACACATCTTCATGTTGCTTACACTGCAATCTGCTTCAGGCTTCCAGCTTGTACATCCATCATGGGCTCTGCTGATCACAACAGTGATATCTAATTCAAACAATCAGAGCTTTTTCCCTTTAACTTGTGTGAATTTCCTTTGATGCTTAAATAACTGAAAAACCGCAAAAGCAAATGAGGCTCTCATCTGAATTACTCAGGAGAGCACAGTAAGCTATTCTAAGCTGTCAGATACAGTTGTAATTAGGTGCTTTTAAAAGTATATTATCTATTTTTATCTGTTATTTATTGTGCATACTCTATTTATTGTGCTGAACTCATTATGTCCCTGACAGACTACTGCAGATTTCTCAGGTCGTTAATTGTCTGGGTTCTCCTGCTACACCCATTTTCAAGACTCTGAGACAAACCAACTGAATTCTGACATTTATTTATCTTCTTAAAGCAAATCTTTTTGTCTGGTAAATATGTAGGGCTCCTAAAGAGATGTTACACCATGTCATACTAATCCTTCTTAGTTCGTGGATTACTGACCAAATGCACAGTGACAGCCCTTTCAGAGCCACCATCTCCCACAGCTGCAATCTGCCGAGGTGCACAACCTCTGCACACCAAACCCACCTTGCCCTCTCCACCAGGACCCCAAGAATGAGCTGTGTCTGTGCAAAGACACCCTCAAACCTCACCTGCTGCTGGGAGAGCTGGAAAACTCTCATTTCTTGTAGAAGGATGTATTTCACCTGGGAGAGCAACACCCTCTGCCTAAAGGCAAACCCATGAGGTTTTCAGAAGAACTTCAAGCTAGCTGTTTCTTGGGGCAATGCAGATGCACCTCAGAATTAGGGGTTTGCCTCTGGCTGGGCTGCACAGAGTCATCCTCAAGGCTGTGTTACCCCAAGAGCTGACAGAGCCCCAAGTTCACTCCCTATCTCCAGTTTCCTGTCTCTTGTGCCCACTCACCCCTGCTCTAATAAAAAAGAATTAGCAGAACAAGGCAATAACTCTTCTCCCTTCCCAAATACCTAGAAAATGAACATGAGCCAAAGCTCCAGCTGCCTGGCAGCAGGAATGCAAACACACTAGAGCTTCCTGGTGGATACCAAGAAGCAACTCCACAGCCTGTTTAATTAATCATCCCTTTCACTCCTTGCAATATCCTCCAGTTCAGCCCATGTCCTCAGCTACCCTGACCATGGGTGGGGTCTGAACTCACCTCTTACCATTAATTGCCTGAGCACCCCACAGTGTGTTTAGGCTGCACTGCCCAGGTGGCATTAATTGACCCCAATTACTCATCAGAGGCACTGAGGAAGGGAAACCGTCCCAGAATGTTAGCTGGTGTCTCCCTTCTTCCAAGATACTTGTATGCCTCATGCCAAAGAAAAGCCTCCCCTTCAGCTTTTCTGTATGCCTAATTTAACACTGAAAATTAAAAAGAACTTTTATAGGTCCACATCAAAGTTCAGGACAGGAAGGAAACTGGAGACCCTCGGAACTCATTACAATATTGCAGGGATTAACGACCTTTAGTTCTATATATTCTACACAAACACTACTTATTCCATAAGAAACAATACTTATTCTATAAAAGCACTACTAGTTTTGCTTATAGAAATTCAGAATTAGATTCATAACAGTAAGTTCATGTCCCTGACAGCACCAGGCAGCCGCCTTTGGCTTGAACCACCCTGCCAGGAGCTCCTGACCTATACCCGGCTTCTAAAGAGCAAAGGCTTCCACTGTATCTGCTCCTCTCTGAGCTAGGAGTCTGCCAAGTGCTACTTTGCAAAAGAAAACCAGGTTTGTTGAGCTGACCACAGAAGCAAAAAGCAGAGCAGCCCCAGGAAGGTGATTTTATAGCCCCCATCTGCTGTCCTGGCACTATCTCCTTGTGAGAAAAAGCTGCACCTGCAGGAAAACCACAGCCAGGCATTGAGGCTAAAGCAAGGATAGTGCCACCCATTTCACCTTTTTATAATCCTGTGTTTTGGGGGTTTTTTTTGGCTAAGGGGGGAGAGTGCTGCAGTGCCAGTGCTGTGTTGCAGATTACATCCATGTCATCATTGGTCAGTCCTCTAAAGTGAAAAAAGAAGCCATGGGATAATACAGAAATTTTCCAAGTTCATGGACAGTTGTACAATTTGAGATACTCTGTTGTCTTTGTATGCTATGTGTGTGAGAGACGTGGGAATTTGAAATGGGCCATAAAATATAAAAGACATGGGGGTTTTTAGTGATAATATATCAACCTAAGAAGTGAGTGAGCCCGTATAGCAGCTTTTTGTCCCATTCATAATTTTAATATGCTGAAAGGCCCACATTTTAGTCTATCCAGCTACAAGCTTTTAAAGTATATGTTTATGAATCCCTGAGAAGAAAGACATCAAAAGAAACAAATGGCAGCTTTGAATTATAGTGGTGATGAATATTGTCGTAATAAATTCTCTCCTCACCCAAAGGAGCAATAAGGGATTCCTGCTGTACCACACCATGTTTTCACAAGTCAAATAAAGCCACGTGTTCAATTTATAGCTTGCTTTGGGGCTGAAAGTCTCCACACATCATCTGTGAATGCAGCTGAACATGATTCAAAACTATTTGGTTAAGAACATAAGAATAGCATGTTTCTAGCTAATTTAGGCTGAGATTTTCTAGGTTGTGCACGGGCTTTTGCTGCCCAAGTCAGAGGCATTGATGCGTCTAAATCCTCTGGGCAGCATGTCAAGCCATAATCTTTTAGAGGCGTTGCTCTACAGCTTGTTTCTACAGCTATAATTGCAGGAGGAAGGGATGCTGAAATGACAGTCAAAACAATGCTTTCATATGAAAGATTAGCCATTTCAACACCATGGTCCTTATCAGAGTTGCAGTGTATATTAATCACCAATTCCCCACTTCTGCTCCATTTGCTGTTGCTACAAAAGGGGATGACAATTTAAACAACCACTTCTGGGACACTTGGCTGATGCACACAGCTTTGCTCTGAACAAGATGAATGAATCCATTTACACACAATGGCTACACATTTTGCCATATCTTTATTGCACTTTTACCACGTTGCAAACAATTCCACAAAAATGCTGCAAAAGTAAGCCTAGAGCTGCTGAAAGCAGCTTTTTACCCATATATGTATATATTTACACAAAACTATCAAAAGCAAAATTGAAAAGTAGCAGCTCAGCTATGATAGTCTAGAAAGATAAGAGCTGCCACCTCCTTATGGACAAATAGTACAACTTGTCATTTTACATCACTTTGTAAAACCAACATTCAAGTATTCCTGTCAATGCACAATTAGTGAAATTCCCTTCTGGTAACCACTGTATTTATTATTATTATTATTATTATTATAATTATTATTATTTTTTGCCTTTAAAGGTTCTTAATGCCTTAACCCTTTAAATGCTGAGTAGCTGGGGGGAAAAAAGCATTCAATTTAAATAAGATACAGTGGATTAGAGCACTTAAAGGGTTAACACAAAATACTAAGTGGACTGTCACCACAAATAAAGTGTGAGTCACAAAACTATGCCATCCCTCTTAGTTAAATTTGGTAGGTAGGTCTGGGGTTTCATAGATATACCATATATAAATACAAAATATTAAGTAAAGGCCTCCTTTCTATACAAAAAAGGACAGGAGGTGTTTTGCTATCAGACTGTTGTCTGTCAATGATCTGAGTATTTTCTGAATCTTTTCATAATCTCTCTTCAGGAACTAATGAAAAGCATCACATTAGACTTATTTTTTCTTAATGAACTAATCCTTTGCAGAGCCTACACTTTACCTACTTTGGGAACAATTATATCTCATTTCTGAATTCACTGAATTCACAAAGTGGCATACACAGTCTTTTGCAAGACTTAATTTTTATTTTCTTTTTCTTTTTCCTCTTTGAATCTTCTGTACTCGGCTGGTAAAAACGTAGTCTTGCGATTTCACTACCTCTCGGTCGTTACAGTGTTAACATCAGTGTTAAAGTCATTTTCAACCACATTGTCATAACCATCCTTTTCTATACAGTCACTGACAGCCTTGAGGACAATCCGTAGCCGCCTGTCCATCGCCTCCAAGTGAGGCTGGTAGAGAATCGGAGCTATTTTATCTTTTAGCAAAGATTCTTTCATCAAGAGACTGAGTTTGTATTCCTCCTTGGCTAACAGCTGTAATCGCAGATAGGTAGACTTCCTTATTCTAGGAGAAAAAGGAGAGGAAAAAATGCAAATCAGTATTTTCATCACCGTTGGTCTTGACAGGGCTAAAAGGCTTATAGTCAGCATTGCATTAGTAGTGTAAAAAGCGTATTATGTGATCTGAAATGATGAGAACCAGGCACTGTCTCAGTCCTAATGAGCAGCTGGCATTGTCACCTGGCCAGTGATCCCCAGGGGCCCTTAGAGGTGGAGAGGTTTTGGAGCACAGCTCGATGTTGAAGTGCAGGCAGGGAAAGGCACCAACAGGAGCTGGTGCAGCATTCACAGGGTCATGTCCATCTTGGCAATGACACACGTGGCATTGAGCAGGGGGATGGGTGACAGCAGTGGAGGCTCCTCAGGCTCACCCTGCAGGGATGCCCAAGAGACTCCCCAGACACAGAGCTCACCCTGCATCTCAGCTGTGCAAAGCTGAAACTCAAAATATCACCTGCCCTCTCTGAAAACCCTGGCTATGGGCACCAAGGAAAGCTGTGGTGAAGCACCTGAACCAGCTGGGATAAGTTTTGCCACTTGACTTCCGTGGATATTTTGTCTTCAAGCCTCTCTTCTGACAGCTCATAGCCACACTCCTGCAAGGTCCTGATCTCAACAGAGCATTTAATGTGTCAATGCCAACGCTCAGGGATAGCTAAAGTCAGGCTCCATGGGTGGGATCACACCATGTCCTCATCTCCATGGTGTACAATTAACAGAATCACTTGAACATTTTCAGTCCTGTTAGTGGAAACTGTATAAACCAGGAAACAACTCCAGAGGTGAAACATACCTGCAGCACTGGTTTAAAGGCACCAATATGGAAAGTTCATCATGGGAATATTTTCCAAACCTATTTAAAGATAAGAGCAAGAACGTGACAAAGGATGTTTTAAAGACTCACTTTTTTCTTTTTTTTTTTTTCCCCCAGAAAGATTATTAGAGATATTTACCCTCTTCCATTATCTAAGTGGATAATAAACGTTTCATTTCCAAACTTCTCAAAGGTTTCATAGTGATGTCGATCCATGTTACCTATGGAATAAAGAGGAAAAAAGGTCATTCTCACCCTGGTTTGCCGCTGAGCCTGCAGGTCAGGGCAATGCAAAGGCCCCAGTTCAATGAGAAGCCCAGTGCTCCTCACACATGATGGCTGTGAAGGGCAGGGAAAGGAATGGATTTACTGAGCTCATTTGCTTCTCCCATGGATACCCCGAAGTGTGTGATGCTGGAAGATGGTGGAAACGAGCCCTGCTGCTCCAGCCTGGGGTCAGCACGGTGTGTGAAGCAGCCACAGCACATGTGAAGTGTGAGCCTTGGCTTAGGGAGGAGCAAATGCCTCAAGCAGGGCTGTTAATCCATGTGACTTTGTTAATATTGCATTAAACTTTTTGAACCCCGACCAAACATCCTGGTTTTCCTCTATTAAGAACTTTGTCCAAATTTCTGACTGCCTGGAAGGCCAAAACAGTACCATGGCTCTAACATATGGATCAGGATGGTTCTGCAGTGGTACAGCTGCACAGCCCCTTTGGGCACCAAGGCAGGCAGCCGTGGGACCTGCTCTTTAAGGTCCATGTGCAGAGTACTGGTGCCAAGCTGTGAGTTTTGTCTTCATGGCAGGGGTCTGGAGCTACTTATAGATGCCACATATGGCTCCTGAGCTGTGACTTGGCCTCTCCTGCTGCAGCCTATTGCAGAAATCTCAGTGGGGGCAGTGGCAGAGGATATGTCCACGCTGGCATGTGCCCAAGGATCAAGTGTGTAGGTTGGCAACTTACAGGTGTATTAGCTACAGCAGAACAGATCTCATATGAGAATGTCTCAGTGTTAACCAATGACTGGGCTTGGAATGTGTCACTATTACCCAGTTAATAATTATTTTATTCTGATTCTGTTGCATAAGCAGATGAAACCTTCCTGATAGATACCACAGCTTCCTTTGTGACAAAGCAATGCCTCTTCCCCCCCTTCTCCCCGACATTTTATAGAGCAAGGAGCAGAGAACACCACTGCAGGATGAAAACAAAGATCCAGTAATGAGCAGTCCTTGCATGTGCCTCCAGGAGCCATACATTACAGTGGTAAAGCACTCACTAAAGCAAACTGTGAAGCCCTTCACTGTTGTGAAGGAGACTGGCCTGACCTGCATTCATCATCACTCTGCATTTCTGAACATCTTTGTTCCTTTAATCTGCACTGATGGGAATACATAACCATGTAAATCTGCATTTTCTCATAATCATCTAGGATGGCACATACAGTAAATGCAGCTTCAGCCACGCTTTAGCAAACTGCTGAGCTATGCAAGCAGTGTAGAAAGAAATGGTTCTTATTCTAATTAAATGTTGCATTTAATTTTTGAAAGAGATGAAACATACCCATTAGGAAATCAAAAACTGTCATATCCATTATATCCAGAATTCTGGTCCCACTGTCATACGGGGGAGTTTGTTTAACCTCTTCACAATAATCTGGATCAACTTCCCATCTGGAAAAGGCAATGTTTTGATATTTTATGTGACATACAAAGCTTACTGAAAATTACCAAAAAAAAGTTATTTTTCAAAGATCTAGTTGTGTCATGTTGGACTGAGGGCAGGGTCAGGTAGAGGCAGCAAATTCCTCAGGCTGCTTCCAGCAATGCAGGCAACCGAGAAAGATTGTGACTGATGAAAAGGGAAGAAAACCACAAGATTGAAAACTATCTGGCTAATAGCTTCAGGATTTAGGAGACTAGCTGCACCATCAGTCATATGATGAAAACATCTCAGACTTGCTTAGGGCTGCTGATAGCAGTGAATCTTTCTCCCTCTGATAGGACTTAAGACAGGTCCCGTTGCATCCTGTCAACGCCACTGGAGGTATTTGTCCCATGAGGGAATTATGCCATTGAAGGTCCTTTTGGGTTCAGGACCATAAGCTGGAGCTCCTGGCATATTAAGTGCCCTGTCCCTTCCCAAGAGATGGAGAAATACAGACGCTGTCCTAAGGCCAGGACAGCCAGGGCAGTGACTGCAGCACTGGTTTATTTTCCCATTGCCCTCCCTTTGCTCACCACTACTCACTCTGCTTTCTTGCGCTTGTGGTAGGAACGTCTCCAAGGGTTTCTCCAGGTTTTCCTTTTTGCTAGAGACAAATCTGGTAGGAAAGCAGCCAGGGACCCTTCAATCTGATCTGGTTTTCCACACAGGGCGTGCTCTGTTGAGCAGTAGTAGGAACATTCCCCATAGAAGCAGATGTTGTTGGCTGGCAAATAAAGGAAAAGAGTTATAAAACCTACCCTTAAATTAGTATTTGAGAATTCATAAAAGCATTGATGTATGTAGGAATAGAAATAAATCCAAAACCCTGTTACCACACATAGTTTTCTTCCACTGAAACCACTAGAAAGACATTCATTTCAGTGGCTGTGATCACGCCCTGTGCTGAGCTTTCTGTGACTATTTCCAGTCTATTTATATATTCCAAAACCACGTTTGTTTGGGTTTTTTTTAAATCCTTCTCTTTCTCCTTTTTTTTTTCCCCCTAGACTTATACATTCTTTGGGTTCTATCTGTTACCCCAGGCTGGAACCCCAAATCCCACAGCTGAACAAGTGGCACATGCCCAAAATTAAGTAATTTTTCAAAACCTTGGCTCGTTTCTTTAAGAACAGAGAACATTTCATTCATTTACTTGTTGCCTTGTTGGTGTGAGAAGAACTGGCAGTTTTAGTACGGAGAATTATTTACCATGCAGGCTCCCGTGGGGGTGTGTGTAGAAGGTGGAAATAGCACAGATGTAACTCTGTCAGCACACATCCCAAACACAAATTTCTTCCTCCACACCTCACACTACTCCAGCAATCGCAGAAAAAGAATCTGCAGCAGGTTTTGGAACTTGTGTTACCTTAAAACCTCCCCAAAACTGCCACCACCTATTTCTGTACCAACAGGAACACCCTGCCCACGGGAATTCACTGAAGGTGAGAGAGAGCAGCTCATCCCCAAAGCCCACCAACGCTGGGCTACAAACAGGAACAGGAGCACACTGCTGCTCTTGTCAGTGTGCTACAACTCTTTTGACATTGCTTTCTGCATATAAAATGTCATTAGAGGAAGAGTGTGCCCTTTCCTCATGGTAATGCATGAAGCTGAGAAGTCACATTGCATCCTAATTCCCCACTAGGCCTCTAAATTCAAATATTATTTCTGAGCTCCTCACTCTTTGGGCAGGCTCAGTATAAATGAGGCAGGAAGGGCTGGGAAAAGAGAGAGGTGATTTTCTGCCTGCCACGGAAGACCTGGTGGCTCGGAAAGGTAAGCTGGTGGGTTTTCATCACAGTGATGCCCTGCAGCATGTGGCCCTGCAACATCACTGGGACATCCCCTCAGACCAAACCCAACGTACAACCAGTCAAGTGCCCCATGGAGATGGTGCAGTGCTGGTGGGAGACAGTGAGTCAAGGGGATAGGGAACAATACTGGAGTTAACAGGAGGGACCAAGGAACACAGCAAGGAGCTGTGTTTGGAAAAGGAGAAGTAGGGGAACATAAGGTCTCACAATGTGTTTGACTGTATTAAATAGCTGCATTATCTGGGACTGGCTGCTAACCATGGAATTACACCAAATAAGTGGACTGTAAGGCTGATGTGTTATTACTTGACAGTTTGTCTCAGCTTTTCATTTCCAAGCCTCTATTGATGTCCATCAGATTTGTCCATGAAGTTGTGATAACTTTGCTCTAGAGAAAGCCCTTTCACATCCCTCTGCTGTGACTGACTCATAAGGACCATCCATCCATCTCTGCTCAGAAACAACTAACCCAAACTGTATATTTACATTCACAGGGTTGGATCATAGCAGTTAAATACATCCTGGCTAAGTCCAGAAATATTTACTCTGTGGCCAAAAGCCTTGTTGGCAATTACTAAAAGAAAAGTACTTCAGGCAAGAGAAAACGAAGAACAGAAATGACAAAAGGAAGGAAGGGAACACTCAGCACGTCTGTACTTCTGACTTTGTAATTTAAGTGTTTTACCAAGCAGAATGTCCTCTCTTAAAAACTATTTTGAAAGCTTTTCCTCACATATAAGGCATACTTAGTCCCTTAGCATCTTAATTAAAGGAACAGTAACTTGAGATTTCCCATGAGCTGAGAAGTGATCATGTCCTTGGCCAATAAGCTGCTCAGCTTGGCTATTTCCTACTAACCCCAGCACAAGTCCTGGTGCTGCTCATTCCATGATATGCCCGTTCACTTCTAAACAGAAATCCCACTAATTTTTCATTTTATGCAGCTCAGTAATATCGTAACTGCAAAAGAGAAGTTTTGAAGCCCTTTTTACAAATTGCACAGGAATGGATGAACTGCAGTTAGGGAAATTTGGGTTGGAAGGGACTCTGGAGGCCTCTGGTCCAAGCTACAGCTCCAGGCAAGCTTCTCCAGGTTAAAAAGGTCTGCAACCCTCAGCTTCTCCTTGTGCACCAGGTCCACCAGCTCCAGGACTGTCTCAGTAGCCTCTTTCAGACTCATCTCTAATCTAAAATCAAGTATAAAATCAAAATCCAGACAAACCCAATCTAAGGCAAGTCCTGGGCACGGTGCCCTGCAGTCTAGAACCATTCATGGGTTTTCTTTTCAAAAATGGCAGCTGGACTTGGCACAGCTTTTGCAGGGTTAACACAGGTGCCTCAGCTTCACCTTCAACCATCCTGGCAAACCCAGAAAGGCTTCAGGTCTTCCTGTGAACCTGTTCCATCATTCAGGATGAAGGTAAAGAGTTGTCCAAGCAGCTGTGGGCAGTACTGCCAGCTGCAGATGGGCCATCAGGAAGGTTGGGATATTCTCAGCCAACAAAAACTGGGGGAAAACATTATTGCAGATAAAATATTTCAAGGGGTTCCAAGCTGCCACAAGGGATGATTTACAAGAAATCACATGCAGATGCTGCTTGCTGCAGGCTAAAGCAGAAGAGTTAGGGAATACAGAGATCCCTTCTTTCCTGGGCACCAGCTGCCTCAGTGGGAAGGTCAGGTTTTCCCTGTGCTGCAGCCAAGGTTTGTGTTTCCACAGATTTTAAGCAGTGGGGCTTGGGCTTCAATTCAGCTGTCTCAGCATCACCCCCTCATCTGTGGAGGGAGGGAACCACGTGGATTTATCGTGACCACTTGAGACAATTTATGTTCCGGGCTATCTGTGACCTGACTCCCACCTGGCAGCAGGAAGCCAATGCTCAGTTTTCTGACACCACAACAGTTTTGCAAAGAGCAAAAGGCCCAGCAATGCCCCCCACCCTGTGTCATCACAGCCTCTGCTGCTCGCTATGTAAATCTGACCTTTCAAAAAAGGAATTGTATTAAACACAGCATTTTGCTCAGTGGGAAGATAAATACTGTGTTTAATAGTTTGCTTCTGAATTTAACTTTGGGAACAATGAAACCCTGCTCTGTATTGTCAACGAAAGCAGCTGGGACTAATCATTTGACAGTAATCACACACTGGTATCCAGATAAATCTCGAGGAAGGCTCGGGGGCTGTGGCAGTGATGGCATTTGCTGCTGCAGAGTGATGCAGGGAGCACATGTGCTGCCTGCACCATTCCAGCCACTCATCCTGCTCATCCCTGCCAGGATCCACCAGCTATTGATCTTCCCACAGAGCCCCAATTGCCTGCACCAAGGCATCCAGTCCCCCCAGCAATGGCAAGATGCATCCTGTCATTAAGGCAGTGAACTTGCAGTAAAACCAAAAGTGTATTTCTCACCGAGAACTGAGAAGTTATTTTCAATGGCAAAGCTTTTTCTGCCAGCAGTTATTCTTCCTGTGGGCTCAGACCTACTCTCCACAGCTCCTGTCCATTTTCTGGGGATAGTGGAGGTGAAAGGATGCTGTATCTCAAACTACTGCTAATGAAATTAACTGCCTTGATTGATACAAAATAGACATCTTATTATGTCTACCTTAGTTCTTATATACTGGCAGTAAGAAGAAGCAGCCTGAATTATCTGTGGAAACATTCATTTTTAAGGTTTCTTAAAAATGTAGAAAAAAAAAAAAGAGGTACCAAATATAGAAACCCACAGTTCTCATTTAAGACTTCAAGGTGCAGCAGCAAGGCTCTTTGAAACCTAAGTAGGTGACCCACATTCTGCACAGCAGGCTGAGGGTGAAATTCCAGCTAGAGACACAAGCCCAGCACTTCATGGCCATCCCATGCTGAGAGTAGGATTTGGCTTTCCCAAGGCAAAATAAGAGGGAAAGGGGAGATGAGCTCCCTACTGGAGCATGGTCCTTCTCCTACCATTAAAATTCCCCAAACCTTATGTTCCTCTCACCAGATAAAGATGTTTCTGTATAAGTACACCCACAAAAGGAGAAACAGCCAGGAGTTTGTGCTCCTGCAGAGTGGGTAGAAATGGCAACAGCAGCAGTGCTGGCAAAGCAGGCAGGGAGGGATGTTTATACTTGCTGAAATGTTCAAATGCTGCGAGTTTGCAACCTGCAAACTCCTTCTTCATTATAAACCAAAATTGTTTCCCCAAAGCACTAGAAAGGCAAGAGAATCCCATGTTGCAATGTCTGATTTTCATTATCTGAGGAGGAATAGCTACGATTCATAATGAAATGCATGCAAAAATCATGGTCTGGTGATCGAAACTCCAACTAATTACAACAATTAAGAACCAGAGTGTCTGTGTACTCATCTGCACATTTTCTGGGCATCATCCTGATAGCTGAACAATAGTTCTCAGGAAGGAAAGGAACAAGGGAGGATACCTTAAAGCAAATTGCTTGGCAGAGCAATTCTTTCATTGAGCTTTGCATGACTGTTAATAGAGGACATTTAGCAAGCCTGTCCAATTGGAATACTGGAAAGAATACTGAATATTTACTAAAGCAATGCATGAAAAGATCTTTCTTTTACCTCCTCAAAATAATAGGTAATTCAGAATCGCTATTGTATGCTGAGAAGGGAAAAAGAATCCATAATCTTTTGGAATTGGTTAATATGAACAAAAACATAGTGCTTACTAGCTGTGTAACATTGATTTCTTTAAGCTGCTGCCTCAATTACTTCCAAAACGAAGGCTGACATCATTAATATGTCTCTTTTTTCCTAGCAAATTACCATTCATTTGTGAGAGTAGCAGGGCTACTGCAGTCTGCCCTACTGCAAAGGATGTAAAATTAATTTAAATAATTACTGACCTAATTCCATTTTTCATGTTTAAGTCCAAGCTGCCTGGAAGTGCACTTTTCTGCAATCTGCTTCCTCTCTGAGTGCAGCCTAATGCATCAACTGACCTGCCTGCTCAGAGCCATCACCACTTTCCAGTGGAAGAAGGGATCCTGCTCAGTGCTGTGCTCTGAAGTATGACTGCCTGCAGCTCCCTGGCCCTGATTTCCATGTCTGATGGGACAAGGGAGGTGTCCCAGGAGTGGGAATGCAATGAGGTTTCTTCCAACACATCCCCATGCTGGTCCAGGGAATAACACAGTGCAGTGATGAGTATCATCAATGCCCACCCTCTGAGGGTTCCCACTGCAAACCATGGGCTCCCAGCCCGAAGGGGAGAGCATTGTATAAAATCAATTTCATTTAGTGCTTGTTTAATTTTAAGAGAGGTATATGTGTGCATGGAGAGGAATGGATTGCCAGCACGACCATTAATTGTCACTGAGCACTCTGGGAACAGAGATGCAGTGACAAAGCCACCTGAAAGGGAGTCCCAGAGGGTCCTCAATAGGTGCACAGACTGGTTTGTGCAAGTATGATATGTCACACTTCAACTTCTCAGCTTTGTGAGCAGTTCTTCATCAAAACCAACTGCCCTTCATCTGCCAGAGGGGACAAATCAGCCTCTTCCAGTCTTCCCCAGGCTCTCTTTTCCCTCTCCATCCTCACCTTTCCAGACCACGAGTCTCACCCCTGCACCTGCCTCTTCCTTCTCTGCCCTCAATCTGCTGCTTGAGCTGCCTGCTAGGCTTGTGAAGTTGTTTCTAAATGCTTAATTTAGGATCTTTATTATTTTTTCATTAAGCATTAATTAATGTCTGCCTTTTAAGGTCAGTATGAAATACAAGACAAAGGTTGGGCATACGTTAATGAGAATCTGACTAATTAAACTGGGGACTTGTAGGGAAGAACTCTGACAAGTAACCAGCATGATTTAAGCAAAGTATATTGATTTAGGAAACGTAAAAGGGAAAGAAAACATTAATTGCTTAAGCACTTTATTCTCCAGAAAAGCCTGATTCATAGTTAATCAAGTATTTTAATTGAATTTATCTGAAGCTTCTAAATAAATTTGAATAAAGGATTATGTTTGGATCATCCCTTGGATGTCTGGAATTTCATAATGACAAGATAAAGATCTTCATCTGAACTGGCAGCCTTAACTCTGTGTTGCCCTGCTCTGGCTGCTGTAAGCTTCTCAGTACTTGAGAACAGTTTTGTAATTCTCAGAAATCACTGAAGTTCACCCCTAAGCCTTGAAATATAACGTTGGAAGATTAAAAATCAAGCAAACCTACTAATCCGTGTCTTACTTACCAAAATGGGAATAAAATTACTTATGTTTTAAATGAGCCAAAGTACCTTGTGCACGTAGACAGTCACAAGATTTTTTGCCATCATTTTTGTGTGATTATTTGCCTACAAAAAGCCAAGTCAAAAAAAAAAAAAGTAGAAAGAGAGAGACAGAGAGGGAGGGAAAGCAACTGATGCAAATACAAGAACGTCTGCCCATCAGGTTTGGTGAACACACGCTGTCACCATGTACTGTCACCGTGTACTGTCACCGTGTAGTGTCACTGCTGTCACCATAACTGTGCCTGTAAAATTGGAGTGCTCATAATAGGGGGCAAGACAAAACCTTCTGTAATTATGTAACGCATTTTACAAGGGAAGTTACTGTAATAAATAACTGTCTGCTCAACCGTGTCCTGCAGAGCTGAACACAACTATGAAGCTAAAAATAACAGCCGTAATAATGACTTTATTGGGGATCTGAAAAGTGTGATAAACATTTTAAGAGCGAAAGCACTGCAACAACAGGGCTCTGGTTTCTCGCTAATGGCAATAAATTGCAGTTACATTGGGAGAAACTGTAATTAAGTCTTTGGATCTTGACTTTAGGGATCTGGGATAAACAGCTTCTGGCCAATCACACACAGAGCAAGGGAAGAGATCTCCGGAGGTTTCTGCTCCAGATTGCCTCTTACACAAGTCACAGCCTGAGTTCAGCAACACACATTTGCATGCAGCTGAAATAGTGTGAGTTAAGCTACTGGAACACAGCACTATGCTTTAAGTTGAATGTTAACCTATATCTTCTACATGTAAGAACAAACTTAAGCATTGTTTTCGTACCTTAAGTGAAAGCTCTTATTTCTCCATCTCAACATCTCAGATGCTACAGAGATGCTGATACTTTTTCCCACCCTTTGCCCATTTTTCCCAATTCCAGTTGTACCTTTTGGTGAGCAGGGCAGAGTTTTATCCTGTGTTTGTAAAATTCCCACCCTGTGGAGCTCCATCCTTGACTGGGTCCACAAGATGTTTTGAAAGAGTAAAGAGTAATAGAGAGTGGTATTGGTTTCTGGGTCAGCCCTCTAAGCAAGAGCGAGGACTGGGGACAACTCAGATAGTTTCTAGTCTGTCCCCTGCCCAGCAGAGATTTCAAGCTGGAGGCAGGATATGTCACGTATCTTTCTTGATTTTTTTTTTCAAACTCCTGTTGTAATAAAACCTAAATGACTCTGAGAAAATTAGGTTTTGGTCCTCCAGTCAAAACCAGAAATAAATGCGTCTGACCAACAGAAGTGACAGATCACACTGCAGTAGGAAAAAAAGTCTAGATAACTAATGGGCCAGGTAATAAGGTTTAGGGTAAACTGAGAGCAACAGAAAATTGCTTTAGAAAATGTTCTACATAAAACATTTGTTGAATACATTGCTTTGGCGAACATAAAAGCCTGTCTCTGAGGATAATTTGTCAAGGGGAAAAGGCAGTCAGTTCAAAACAATACAGTCTTCTTTGTAAGCTATGTCTCCACATTTATTTTTATTCAAAGGTCTAGGAGACAGTTTTATTAGAAATATCTGAGCAATTAAGCAATCTACACATCGTTCCCTTAAGTATCTGTTCGGCGGGATAGAAAGAATATAGTGTTATTTCCAAGACTACCTGGTGAGATGAAAAACGTTCTCCACAGCTTCTTGTCACGAGTAACATCTCGTATTTCCCTTGTCATGTTAACCAGTCTACCTGCAACCGGTGGCACACGACGGAAATCCAGAATCCTGGAAGAGAAAGAAAAGAGGTAGTTTATGTAAAGGATTAAAATGTAATGATAGTGTTAGGTCTTAGGAAGCTTCATTACACTCTGAAGGCACATTTATCTGTGGTCTTTAAGTAGCAAAAAGCCCATCAACTTTAAACTGGATAATCCTTCATATAATATATTACAAAATGTGTCCTGAATGTGATGAGCTCTGACTTGCCTACATAGCATGGAGCAAAATACAGAAGGGTATGGGGGGCATTGTTCCGTGATAAAAATGAAGACACATACAATTCCAGAAATAAGAGACAGTGGAAATTTATTTTTTCACTTTGTGCTACTTCATGATTGTTATGACATGCATTTTGCTCACCAGTTTTTTAAGTGACTTGGGGAATGGGATTTCAGCCTCTTTCTTCCATAAACACCATGTAATTCTTTTTCTGACAGCCTTAGTATGTGTTTGATTTATTTCCTTCTGCTCCTCTCTGTTTTAATACCCTTACACCAACCTAAACAATCTCCCTGAGACTAAAAATTTTCCCACGGGCAAAGGCTGGGAGAAGAGGCTCTTTCTACCCCAAACTCCCCTGCCTTTATAGATCATAAAAACCTCCCTACTAAGCATTGCTATTAGATACAGTAAAAGAGCAAAGGCCCCATACAAAGTCTCCCCATAGGCGGGATTTTTATATCCACTGTCTGCTGTTCAGATTTTCTACACTGGGTAGCAACTGCTTTTCCTGCTTAGTGTGTGGATATTTAACATACCCCCCGTAGGAACTCCACTAATGCTTTTTTTCTACAGCACCATCTGCTTAAAATGGCAATATAAAACACAAAGCAGAAGGGATCAACACCGAGGTCAACAACAATAAAATAGAGAAGATCCCTGAAGGATCTCATCAGGATGGCTCCTAACAGCAAACCTACCCTGTGCCACTCGCTGACAGGTTCCCATACCCCAACCATCATCCCAGAAGGCAGCAATATTACACAACCCCCCAAATAATTTGTTGCCCCAAAGCTTCAAGCTTTCTAAAGGATGTTTCTCAGCACTTCACAGTGTGAGAGACACTTCGGTTCTGACTCAGCCTGTGAAATGCTGTTGTTCCTGGCCCTATTGTTAATCACTAATTTTTATTTCCCACCCCTAATCTGGGCAGGCTGAGAGGGCTGCAGTCCCTTGCCAGTCTTGGGGTATCCACCATCTCCTGCACTATCTCTGCCTGGGGGTACATTTTCAGCTGACAGGACCATGAGATGACCACCAGTGTCCTCTCCTTCACACTAACTTGTGGCCTAAATGTGCTCCTGATCTGGGACAGTCCCAGCTTTTTGCTGTGAAACCAGAACTCCCTTCCCACCTCGATTACTCCCCTCTGAATGCTCGCACCACTCCCCACATCTCACTCGGATCTCTGTGCCCTGGAGCTAATTGGGGTGAGCCAGACTCCCTTCACATTTACGTGACACATTCCCCCAGAGATGGGTCCTCTCCATATGTACTTCGAGATCACAGGGGAAATTAATTTCTCAGCTTCTCTTCCATATAGCTTCTCCTTCTTTTTGAGAATTACTTATTGCCAGGCTTCTCATTCCCAGAGCAAGTCGCATTTCCTAATTATTAATCTACCCTTTCATCATCTGCCATTTCATTTATTCATGGAGTATGCCCACCTTTGTTCGACTTTCCACTTTTAAAAAGTAATTCAGTTACAGGGCTGGCCAAGTGCAGCAACTTATCACAATATTTCCCCTTTTCTTCTAATGCAAATCCGTTCTACTTGCCTGTCCAGATGAAATGCTGCTATTTCTGCATTATGTCTCTCATAGTCTGAGAAATAAAAAAAGTCAGGCGGGGTTTCTTGTTCTCTGGTTTGCCTGCAAAGGAAAACAAGGGAAGTGTTTTAATGAAGGGTTAGCATTTCTAAGGAGCAGTGCTCAGTCATCAGCATGCTATTCAGGAGTTCAGAATTGTTTGCTTAATGGAAGACCTTTAAATACCTCATGTGTGCATTATTTGCCATGCAGCCTTCATTTTATCTTCTTTCTTAAACTACTGTGACAAAAAAATGGGAATTCAAGACTTGTGCACACAGTCTGCTGTCACAAAGCTGTTCCACTCAAGATTCTCGCTCTATTTAACAAGATCTGTTTTATCACTCTCAAACATTTCATTAGTGATAGTGGTGAAGACAATGTCATTTCATTAAATTATCATTAATCGTAATTAATTTCCAAAAGTAATAATATTTTTCTTTCATCTTTGGCAGCCATGCACCTCCTATCTAGAATATGCCTCTCTTTTTGTGTTACTTGGAGCCAAAAGTGACATGTTTTTCTTATTTCAGAAGCAACGGGATCATTGCAGTTTGACGGCCACGACACATGTCGTGTTTCAAAGAACATTAACAAGACCGTGCTTGAGAGAGGGTGCAGAATTTGTTGTTTCTTCAGTTTAAGAAACAATAAAAAGTGTCATTCTGATGGAAATAGAAAGGGTAAAGCTTCCACACTGCACTCCATGGAAAATACAAAGCTCCATGTTAAGACAGAAGTCTCACTTGTGGCAATTTCAGTCCTGATGGAACACAACTCGGGCAGTTGACCAACACAATGTCTGGGTCCCACCTCAACCTGCATTATGCCCTGTTTTGAAGTTTTCAGTGGCAGATAAGCACAGCAAAGCTGTCTGCAGAGCATCTGCAAGGGAGGACAGTTCCCCAGAAGAGGAAAACAAAGCTCTTTTTCATTCCCCACTGCCACAGGTGGCCCAGCTGACAGCTCATGCGTCACTCCTGCTACCTGCTGGCAATTAAAATACAGCTTCTGCATGGGGACCTTGGCGCATCAAAGGCTTTGGGGTGGTGCTGGTGCACAGCTCAAACCTCCAGAGAATTTGCAATAAGCCTTAATTATGGGGTTTGTTGGGAAACCAAAGCTGTGTCCACCCACGACTGCGACTACCAGAGATGGTATCTGCCCACAAACCCTCCTGGGGCTCTCCACACTGCTGGAGAAACCGGGTAAGTCTTGTGGGTTTTGGCTGCATGAAGACTTTGCTATGCACCCAACAGGGTTTGAAAGCCTGATATTCTTTCTCAGACATTTCCTCTTATATTAACATCTTGGCAAGGCACTTGATCTTGCCCTAAATGATGAACAATTGCTATCACAGAGACAACATCAAGGTATTGTCCAATGTAAGTCAAGGTCAGAGTAGCCTTGGACACCCCAGTGATGCTCTGGCCAAAACAGCAGTGATAGTGGTGGCCACAGAGGTGGCCAACACTTGGCAGAAGTCCTGCTAGGGCCCTGCTGTGGCCAAAGGGTTCACGAGGACACAAGCTAAAAGTGAGCCTGGCATAAAATAAAAAATAGCATTTTGCTTTGTCTCCATAAAAAATGCAAAAGTGGAAGGAATGAGCACACCCACAAAGAGCAATATGGAAGAGCAGAACCTCTGGCATCCCACACCATGCACCACACAATCAAGGCAAGAGTTAGCAGAGCTGCAACCTCACTGTGCATATTCCCCTAAAAAAATGAAGGAATGAGCCCTGAATATAAATTCAAAGAAAAAGATTAACAGATTTCTTCTAGGCATAAGATTACACATTTCTACATAACTTTCCCTCCCCTCCAGATTTTAAAATAGTTGATTTCTTCAACAAGTCAGAGAAAGAAAGATTCAACCCAAGATTTTGCAAACTTTACACATATCAGCACAGCTGATAAGTTGCAGAAAATATTACTAATTAGCTAATCAATGCCATCTGCTTTTTATCTCCCAAATGCTTAAAACATATCACGTTTGTTCCTACTCCAGAAAATCCTACTCCAGAAAATCAGAGTTGAGTAAGGGCGAGATCTCAGTCTTGCAAGCACAGCCATACCCCCAGCCCAGCTCCCCTGCAGTCAGCACATCACTGCCACGATCGTCCGGTCTCTCCAATTCCACTTTTCTCTTTACTCCCTGCCACCCCCGGCAATAGCTGGGGATATTATTCATTTGGGAGTAAGTACAGCTGTCCTGCAGGCTTAGGCTTGTTTGTTCATATTTTTCTGCTGTCATAATGTGTTATTAAGTGGTAGCAGACCCTCCTAAGAAATCACGGAATTTATTGTCCTAAAACCTTCAAAACTGAACACCAAATCCACAGTGAAATCTAGACAATGGAAATCCCGGTATGTGAACCCGACAATACACCATGAAACAAATTCCCAAGTTTCTTTGGTGCTTCCCCCTACTTAGCTACAAAAAACCACTCTCCAGCCACTGTCCACATGGTCCCTGCCCATGTCAAACACATATGGTACCCACTTCTCTGTCTCTTGAAAATACTGTGTTACTCAGAACATAGACTAGAAGGAGGATTTATCAACCCCCAAGCTGCTTTACAATCCTTATGTTCCTTTGCAGAGCTCTGCAGAACTAAGATGTAGCAGATCCAAACACCCTGAAATAACCTTGGAAAACCCCTTCTGCTGACAATACTTCATGGACAGAACAGGAATCTTGTACCTTGGATCTGACTTTAGCTAGATAGACTTTTATTCAAACAGACATTTATTATTAATTTGATGTCTGCAGGAGCACCTAAAGAGGTTCCTTGGTAACTGCCCAGCCAGAGTAAGCTGCCATACCACCAGCAAACACTAACATGTGAGAGGATTGTAGCCCAAGGTAGACAACTGAAGCCACATGAGCTTAACACAGCTCTGAATCAATGCCATCCATGGAATGTCATGAGAATGGCTTTAACAGGGTTAAAGTGCACTTACATCATAATCTATATTTTTTACTTTATCCAACTGCGTTTATACATAATTTTATTTTATCCATGTTAAAAATTTCCTTTCTGTTTTGTTTTCTTTTTTTTTTTTTTTAAATGCACAGTCTAATCAATAAATTGCCTTGTTTGGTGCTAATTCTTCTAACAGTCTATTCTGATATATAAGCATAGAGAGCTGGAAGATCAAACTGCTCTCAGCAACACAAATGAACAGTCAACAAGTCCTATCAGTTCCTCTGAGTTTAGATCACAGTAGCTGGTCCCCAGTCCCCAAGTGACAGCTGGAAAAGGGGCAAGCACTGAGTCCCTGATCAAGTAAAGCATCTTATAAAACAACACTGGAACCAAGCCACCCCACAGCATGTTTTAAATCAGAATTGCATTTTAAAAGGGGAAAAAACCCAACATCCCTCAAGTTAGTTTGGTTTTTATCACCTGATGGCTATTGAAGGTTATTGTCTAATAAAATGACACACAGAGTGAGATATTTGAGCAAACAGACCAATATGCTGAGCCCTCTGCAGCAGTGCACGCTTCCGAGGGACAATAAGTTACAGAGCCAGCAGTGACACCTCACACCGAGCAGGGACAGGTCCTGCACAGGTTGCAGACGGTGGGAGAGGATTTCTGGCGGCGGCTCTTATTTTGCAAACAGTTGGAATCTGGTGATCCTCTCTTTGGAGAAGGATTTGGCAGATATTTATAACGGCAGGCTGGGAAGCTGTGGAGGAGAGACAGATGGAGGTCTGTTGATAGTGCACACAGTTAAAAATTACACAGTGGCACCAGCCCAATTACAGCATGAGGAAAAGACAAATCAGCACGGTAACATGTGTAGAGGAGAAGTAAGAACTAAGGGGAAATCAAAGCCCATGGAGATTTCCCCACCATGACACAACTCACAGAAGACACTGGAAGCAAAGAATGATTTTAAACAGGACAGGGACACATTTGTGTTGACACAAGACAAGATGCAACTGTGATCTGATCTGGTGGCTAGAAAAGCAAATCATGCCTACAAACAGAAGAAATAAAGCTGTTCTCATAAATGAACAGTCATAGATCGGTGAGTCAGCTCCATTCTAGTTATGGTTGGGACCTGGTTTGGTGTTCAGTAGTATTTGGATATATCAACATAGTGATTTGCATGCAGAAATACTTGCAAAGTCTCAATCTTCTCTTAAATGTTTCTGTAAACACTTTTTTTGCCAATTACTTGATCCCCCAGACCCAACATTAATAATTTCTTGTGGCTTTTCTTTTTGCTGTTCATGAACCCCATCACCACAGGACAACTGCAGACTGCAGAGTCTCTGGCATTTCATAAAATGACATTATAGAAACTAAACCTTTAACATGGAAATCTATATTTAGTTTCCATGACCACTAGCATACACCTGCCTAAACTAGGATTAATACCCACCGGGGCCATGTATTACTCGAAAGAATCCTGCTCAGTACCAGACTTCCTCTGCTCTGGGGGGGTTCTATTATTTGTACAGTAGCCAAAAAGCTAGAAAATAGGGCAAACAGCCCAATCTGAGCTAAGTGTTATCCTGATAGACATGTGCTGTCTTCCTGTGCTGCAGTCCAGAGACATTTCAGAGACACCTTTTGTGTCAGACCCTCGTACCTTAACTAATGAGAGGATGTGCTGCTGATTTGAAAACAGCTCCTTTTAAATAGGTTACACTCCTGTTCTGACACATAATCAGGGGAATCAACCGCCGGGATTAGGGATGATTAGGGATCACAACAACGAGCTTTGCTGCAGCAGGGAGTAGGTTTGCTTGGGTCAGGCCATTTTGCAGACAGAGCCCCTGCCCCTCTCCAGCCAGGGGAATTCGGCAGCAGCAAAATCACTATGAGATATAAGCCAATGAGGCTTTGTAATTGCATTGGCAGGGACACGACTGACACTGATAAGAGCATAACTTGGCTATTGTAACAGATAACAGGAGATTAACTGGGTCTACCCACAGCTATAGGTTGCTATTCTTCTCCTTTGGAAAGCAGCTTTCCTCTCTTCCTGTGGAGTATTTAAGGTGTTTAAAATACCTGTCCTGAAGCCGAGTTGCAGGCTCA